CAAACTGCCTCAGAGGCTAGCAGGTGGGACACCCGTCACCTCTATATCCAGGCTACCTCCTGACACTTTTTGTTATTTTCAGGTTTTAAAACTATATTTAACTTATACCAGAGATAAGACTTTGCCATAGGTGTCCTTAAGGAACAAATTCCACAGAAGTGTTGGTGTGTTAAGAGTGAAGTAAAACCATATAAGCCTGGTGCAACAAGCCCTCATCAGGACCTCTGGTCTGATGTAGCATCCCCTGCTAGGAGTGTGCAGCTCGGGCTTGTGGCAGAGGCCTGCATAGGCTCTTCAGAGTGTGACTTAGCAGTTGTCCAGTAACAGAAATGACTCTATTCTCCTCGGTAATAAAGGTCGGCTGCCAGAGACAAGCCACCATGACCATGGACCAGACTGAGAAGCAGACCTTCAGACGAGGAGGGGCCCAGAGTGGGCCTCTAATGGATCTGAAATCCTTTACTTATACTCTGACCAAGTACACACAACTGTCCATCATGTCAGACCTGAGCATTTACTAGGAAAATAGTATAAAAGATGAAAACGTAACCTGTCAGAATGTCTACCATCAACAAATAAACAAATGACAAGTGCTGGCAAGGATGTGGAGAAAAGGGAACCCTAGTACACTGCTGGTGGGAATGCAGACTGGTGCAATCAGTTCTAGATCCCCATTATGGAAAACTGTATGGAGTTTCCTCAAAAAACTAAATATGGAACTCCCAATTGACCTAGTAATCCCACTTCTAAGAATATATCCTAAGAAACCCGAAACACCAATAAGAATATATGCATCCCTACGTTCATAGCAGCACAATTTACAATAGCTAAGATCTGGAAACAGCCTAAGTGCCCATCAATAGATGAGTGGATAAAAAAGCTGTGGTACATTTATACCATGGAATACTATGCAACAGTAAAAAAGAAGACTCTTTTACTCTTTGAGACAGCATGGAGGGATCTGGAGAGTATCATGCTAAGTGAAATAAGCCAGTCAGAGAAAGTCAATTATCCATTCATATGTGGATGATCGCACTCATATGTGGAATCTAAGTAACAACAATAAACGAAGGAACAGAGTAGATCCAGAGACATGGAAGCATGAAACAGAGTGCGGAATCTCAGAGGGAAGGTGGGGGAGAGTGGGTGGGTGGGAGGTAATCAACCGAAGATCTGGTATGCATATATGCATAACCCATGGACACAGACAATAGGGTGCTGAAGGCCTGGGGTGGCGGTAGGGGGTCAATGGAGGAAAAAGGGGGACATTTGTAATACTTTCAACAATAAAGAATTATTTTAGCCCTAGCTGGTTTGGCTCAGTGGATAGAACGTCAGCCTGTGGACCAAAGGGTCCAGGGTTCGATTCCTCTTAGAAGCAAGAGTAGCCTGGCCGGTGTAGCTCAGTGGTTGAGTGTTGACACATGGACCAGGAGGACACAGTTCAATTTCCAGTCAGGGTACATGCCTCCTCCCCGGCCAGGAGGCAACCAATCGATGTGTTTCTCACACATCAATGTATCTCTTTGTCTTTCTCTTTCGCTTCTACTCTCCCTAAAAATGAATGGAAGACTATCCTTGGGTGAGGATTAACCAAAAAAATAAAAATAAATAAATAAAATAAAATAAAAATTATTTTTAAAAAACCACAATGTAATAGTGTTATTAATAAAATAGAGCATTTATTTTAAAAATTAATTCCTACTTTAGATGAATGGATTAATTCCTACTATGATGAATGCCTTCCTTTCCTTTCCAATCCTATCCGTGTACTCTCATCACTTTATGTAAAGCCTCATTTGAGGATGCTATTAAAAACAAGGACTTGGCAGATGAAATCACCTATCACCTGACTTGTTATAGATCCTGCAGAAGGCAAAAGGCTCAAAGGTATTCCAACCAAAAACCAGAAAAATAGATTACTGTAATTTATAGCCCAAAATAAAAATTTCTTCCTCTGGGGGAAAAAAAAAAGACGAAAAAGTGTCTAGAGCTTGAACACCTCCAGTGCTGTGGCATAATAAAAGTGCTGATTTGGAACACCACCTAAATATGAAGTTAAATATACCATTAGGTAGACAAAGGTCTAAACAAAGCCTCTTAGAAGCAAGAGTAGCCTGGCCGGTGTGGGTCAGTGGTTGAGTGTTGAGCCATGAACCAGGAGGACACAGTTCAATTTCCAGTCAGGGTACATGCCTGGTTGCAGGCTTGATCCCCAGTAGGGGGCATGCAGGAGGCACCCAATAGATGATTTTCTCTCATCATTGATGTTTCTGTCTCTCTCCCTCTCCCTTCCTCTCTGAAATAAAAAATACACACACACACACACACACACACACACACACGACAAAGTATTGACAAACATGTGAAGAAATTGGAACTCTCATATGCCATTGGTGAAAATATAAAATGGTGCAGTCACTTAAAAAATAGTTTGGCAGTACGCAAGAGATTAAACATAGAATTACCTAGTAATTCCACTCCCAGGTATATATCCAAGAAAAATGAAAACAGGACCATGCAAAAACTTGTAAATGAATGTTTAGAGCAGGTCATCATAGCCAAAAAGTGGAAATAACTTAAATGGCCATCAACTGATGAATGGATAAAGAAAATGTGTTCACAAAAAGGAACACATGCTACAACACAGATGAACTTTGAAAACATCATGCTGAGTGAAACAACTGACACACAAAAGGACACATCTTGTATGATACCAATTATATGAAATGTCCAGAATAGGCATATCCATAGAAAGAGAAAGGAGATATAGGTGATTGCTAGGGCTGGGGAAAAGGAGGAATGGAGATGGACTGCTAATGGGGATGAGGTTTCTTTGGGGATGATGAAGATGGTCTGGAATGGTGATGGTTGAACATCCCTATGAATACACTAATAAACACTGAATTGTACACTATACATGTGTGAATTATATGGTAGGTGAATTATATCTCAACTAGAGGCCTGGTGCATGAACTTCGTGCACTGGGGGTGCTGACTGGTTGTTCTGGTCGTTCCGCCTTAATGGTCTCTTAGGCTTTTATTATATAGATGTAGCTATTTAAAAAACAGTTGTAGCCCTAACCGGTTTGGCTCAGTGGATAGAGCGTCAGCCTTCGGACTGAAGGGTTCCAGGTTCGATTCCAGTCAAGGGCATGTACCTTGGTTGTGGGAACATCCCCAGTAGGGGGTGTGCAGGAGGCAGCTGATCGATGTTTCTCTCTCATCGATGTTTCTAACTCTCTATCCCTCTCCCGTCCTCTCTGTAAAAAATCAATAAAATATATTTAAAAAACAAAACAGTTGTAGCAGCTAATACTCATGGGGCATTTATTATAGGCTCTGGGCTAGGTATTTAAGGTACACTACCTCATTTAATCCACCTAACAATTCTATGAGATAGATACTATTACTATCCCCCATTTTACAGATAAGCAACCTGAGAGACTTAGAGTGGTTAAGTAACTTGCTCAAGGTCAACAAAGAGCCTGGCTTTGAGGTCAGGTCTATGTGCCCTCAGAATTTAAACCCTTAATCACTTCTCATAGTGCCTCTTCTATCCAATCTACTGCTAAATTCTGTCCATTCTTCCTGGCAACATTTTGACATTTCTCATACTCATGACCTCATTTCCTTCCCATCTTCATTGCCTATCATCAGACTGTTTTAGCAAACCTAAGCTCCCTACCATAGTCTTTCTCTTCCAGACCCTTCAACACATTTATGAGGGTGTCTTCACATGAAGTTCCAGCTTTGTCTCTGGCTCAAAAATTTTCAGTGGTTCCCACAATCTAAAACACAATCAATACCCCTGCACATATTTCTACCATATTCCTTCCTCTCACCCTATGCTGCCCCATTCTCATCACTCCTGAACACACCATATACCCCTCTCCCACCTCTGGGCTCTTACTTAGCCTGTTCCTGCTACCTGGGATGCCCTGCACCTCTGCCTATCAATGTCCTATCCATGTTTCAAAGCTGGCTCCTTGTTTACTAACTTTTTCTCAATTTCACAATCCTGCCTCCTTGCCTATTAGAACTTAATCTCACTTTCTTACAGCAAAAAAACATATTCTAGTTATTCCAGGAGTATAAGGGTTATTTCTGACCCATGTCTACCTTCCCACAGCATTGCCTAGCATAACAAAGGGCCTTCAACAATGCTTACTGAACAGAACTGTCATAGAGGATGTTATCTGGGCTGTATTTGAGGCAGAGAAGAAAGATGGGAGTATTTGAACCCAGGAACCATATTCTAAAGATGGGAGAAGATTCTGAGGTGACAAAACACATAGACTATGGAAAGAAGGATACAATAGCAGGGTAGGACCCACTCTAGGACCCATATCCTGACTTCTGGAATACCTGGACTGCCTAGAGCACTGGACAGTCTCCATGCCTGCTTCCCCTATGGTTCCACAAGCCACATTGGTTTCCTCTCTGGCACCAACAGGGCAATTAGTTAAGTTTGTATAGTGATCTGTTATTTCATGGTCTCAGCCCCACATGGCCCAACTGGGTGGCCTGGGTGGCTATGCAGGCTCCTTATATTCAAGGGCAGCTACACTTCCCATTTCCTACCACCTGGTATATGAAGATCCAACACTGCCATCTTAGTCCTCTGCTTGGGAAAGATTACCAATCTGGGAGGTGTGGTGGGGCAGTGCTGGGCTGGGCAGGTCCGATCCAGAACAGCTATGCAATGACTATTAAAGAAGTGACAAGTGTCTGGAGTCCATTAGTATATCAGTAGTGAGCCAGGGGTAAGGGGTTCCAAACTCACTATTCACAGTACCCATCAGTGAGCCCTGGTCAGCACAGGGCACTCTTCATCTCTTCTCTGTATCTGTAAACTTCCTGAACATCAGCATTTTCTTTGCAGTTTCCATTCCTTTTTCCTGCCTCCTCCCCTCTTTATGGCAACATTTATTTCAGTGGGGGCTGAATGCATAGTAAAGGGAGTGGGACTAGCTGGGCCTAATCTCTGGAATACTCACTTGATTAGCATAGCGTTTTGGTAACTTCTTGCCAGTGTCAATGTCCATTTCTTCATCGTATTTCTTATCTTCTTCCTCACTCTCCATCCCTGTCCAGTCATCTTCAGCCAGTCTTCTGGCATGATTCACATAATCCAGCCGCTTGCTAGAGAAAGAAAAGGCATAAGCAGAAGTGAAAATTTAAAACAACAGCTTCTAGGGCTTTCTGCTTTAAACAGTTTTATGAGGAGCAGCTAGGCCTTTCTCTAGCTCCTAATTTTCAAAAACAATCATTTAGTTTACAATTTAATAACTTGTTTCCTGCTATCGTTATCTTCCTCTTTTTTAAAAAAATATATTTTTATTGATTTCAGAGAGGAAAGGGGAGAGAGAAACATCAATGATGAGAATCATTGGTTGGCTGCCTCCTACATGCCCCACACTGGTGATGAGCCTGCAGCCCAGGCATGTGCCCTGGTGGGAATCGAACCATGACCTCCTGGTTCATAGGTTGATGCTCAACCACTGAACCACGCCGGCCAGGTATTATAGTCTTCTTTTTTAAAAAAATTACATATTGTACAAAGTTTGGGAAATGAGAAGGAAGAACAGTAATCTTTGGAACCTAATTGTTCCAAAGTGATTTGTAAAGTAGCCCTGGCTCAACAGCTCACTTGGTTAGAATGTCATCCTGATACACCAAGGTTGCAGGTTTGATGATTGTATAAAAATCAACTAAGAGATCAAGCACTGAGGCAGTGAGACCAACTCAGCTGGTTTTTTTCAAACACACATAAAGGTGCACATGAGGGCACATGCAAGCACAATGGTCTTTTATTTCAAGAGTAGTGCCCTGGTGCACAGATTCATGCACATTGAAGGGAAATTAATTAGAAGGTGGCTGGCAGGGCGGGACTAGGCGAGATAGGCTGGACACACCTGGGGTGGCACCATGGCTCACAGGGTGTCTGCAGAGTGAGCGGGGTCCCTCGGCCTGGTCTGCGGGGATCGAGCCGAAACCAGCTCTCCAACATCCCTCTAGGGGTCCTGGAGTGTGAGAGGGCAGTTCTCGGGTGATGCACCCCGGAATTGGGCTTCCTCCTCTCTAGTTCCGGAGTACATCACCAGAGAATAAGACACCACAGCTCAGCAGCTCCTGCCCCCTGGTGGTCAGTGCGCATCATAGCTCCCGGTAGGACAATCACTTAGCCTTTTATATCTACCTCAATGCAGGAGCTGCCATGACTCGGACTGGCCATTTAAAAAGAAATGGCACTGCGGGCCTGGTGCCCACAAAGCAACACTTGGCTCCCCCCAAGTGGGACACAGGCCCCACCACCACCCTAGAGTGACAGCCCATCAAATTGCAGCCAACGCTGCCGAGACCCCATGGTGCCAAATGCGGCCCACAGCCCAGCCCGGACCAGAAATGGTCGCTGTGGGTGCGGGTAATGACATCACGTAGCAACGCCCAGCTTCCTCTCTCTAGCGACAGCTAGCCTCCTTGGAGTTTCTTCAGCCCAGGAACATGACTTGCTTTATAGCCAGCTGCAAACATTTCACACTTTAACCAAATGTCTGTGAAGTGTTTTCCCGTGACTCATCTCATTTGATCCTCACAGAAGTCCTGGAGTAGGAGACTTGGTGGAATTTTATTTTCATTAGCCGGAAAACAGAGATTTAGAAAGTTTAGAAACTTGACCTGACTGAAAAGAAGAAATGGTGGAACCTGAAAATGACTTCAGGTTTTCTCACTGTGCAGAATATAGTCAAACACTGCTGCAGTTAAATATTTTACCCTTTGTTCTCCTTGCATGAGCTACAATAATAATCTGCTTTGTGTTAATATTTACTGCTGTGTTGCTGACAATTACCTAAAAGAGAAGTTGGGGTGCTTCACTAGGCTGGAAAAAGTTTAGCTACATCAGAAACCAGGTCTAATTAAGCATGTTTATTCTATACATATAAAAGGCTAAGTTGATTTGTGCATGCGCAATACATATAAAAGCTCTTGCTGGCACTAATCTGTCATTGTCGATTGTGAATTTGGTTGACACTTCTATTATAGAGAAAGGGTGGATAGCAATATTAAAATATTTCTTCTAATTAATTTCCTTTCAATGTGCACGAACCCATTCACCGGGCCCCTAGTATATAGATAAGAAAGAGCTGGAGTGCTTGTACATGTACAAAAGGATGCATTTCTGTGGTTATTTCCCAAGCATTGTTTTAAGCACAAGAGAAGGAAACTAAAAAAACAAAAACAAAAAACCTGCCCAGCCCGTGTTGTTCAGTGGTTGAACATCGACCTATGAACCAGGATCACGGTTCAATTCTTGGTCAGGGTTGCTGGCTCGATCCTCAGTAGGGGGCATGCAGGAGGCAGCCAATCGATGATTCTCACTGATGTTTCTCTTTCTCTCCCTTCCTCTCTGAAATCAATATATATATTTTTTAAAGAGAGGAGGGAGATATCTGTAATACTATCAATAATAATTTCTATCTCTCCCTCTCCCTTCCTCTCTGAAATCAATAAAAATATATTTTAAAAAAAAACAAAAAAGAGAGAGAGCGAGGAAATTACCCATATGCCCGTCAGTAGGGGACTGCTTTGATTATTATATCATGAACTGTCCATTCAACGGAATACCTGGAACTTAACGACATAGAATTTCTGCAAAAAAACATTGTTAGCTAAATGTTCAGAACAGTATACTTAAAAAAAAAAAAGGTTGCAGGCCAGGTAGCTCTAGTCACCAAAAGGGTATGGATTCCATTTCCGGTCAGGGACTATACCAGTCGATGTTTCTCCTTACATGGATGTTTCCCTCTCTTTCTCTCTCCTTTCCTCTCTCTCTCTAAAATCAATAAAAAAACACACACATATCCTCAGGTGAGGATTAAAAAAAAAAAAGGTCATCACACTTGCTCATTTTGCAGAGAATATCTTTGAAAGGATACCTAAGAAACTAATAATATAAGATAAACTGAATAGCTAAGGGGAAAAAATCAGGAGGAAGACTTTTCACCAATTATTTTGCAACAGGTAATATATCCATTACATGTATTCATAGTTCAAAATTTGAAATATATAAATTATAGTGGGTTTTTTTTTGTTTAAGAGAGGGCATGGGGTGATCTGAGAAGGTAATCTGCAAGCAACCCAGAGGCCACAGGGAACCATTTCTGCTAAATACATGCAGTGATGCAACACTGGGCAAAATGCAGATGGTACAGAAACTGTGCAGCTGTTAATAGCTCCTCTTGATTTTCAATTCCTTAATTGATTACCCAGAAGAGACCATGTTGCACTGAGAATAAAAGGACAGGCCTTGCCTTCAGAGAAGCATAGCCTCAAACATTCCTATCCTGCTCTCTTTTCCTGTATGCTCATCTTGGCACTGAGAATTACATGTATGGAAGACATTTCCTCAAGTTCCCTGTGGAATTATTTGGAGCTCCCAAGGTCTCTACAGAAACATCTGGGCTGCAGACAGGAAGACCACACCAAGGCCAGGATTCAGAATGTGGGAGAAGCTACACAGGGAATGTGGGGTGTGGAAGTCTGGGCATGACTTTCTCAAGTCCATAAATTACAAAGCTCAGTACTGCTGCCAGGAAAAAAAAAATTAACCAAATAACTGAAGTTTTACTTTCAAACTTCCTCATCTTTTTTCTAAGCTCTGGGTGTAAAAGACATCTACCTCTGCCAGGATTTATTCCTCCCAACCTTGTGGATAAGATGATCAACCTACAAAGGGTCTACTTTGAAGAGGGTTCTGTAGAAGTAAGCCTAGAGCTTTCTGAACTGTTCACAATGCTCAGCCTGGAGAAAAAAGCCAGGGAGTCAAAGCATCCCTTACAATTTCTGCCGTTCCAGTAACTGCTGACGCCGCTCACTCTGATCCAGGGAACTGTACTTGGACTTGTACTGGGACAGGCGAGGGTGTGGGGCAGCTGTGCTATTCAGATCTTGAGACACAGAAAAGCTACTAGCCAGGGCTTGACAGACCAGACTCGTGCTGCTGGAGAAGGTTGGACTCGTGGGGCAGTGGATGATGGATCATTCATTTTATATTACCTCCTGTATACAGGCAGTTATAACATGGTATCTACATTGCTAAAAAAAACTTAATCCAAAATCATAATGGTTTCCTGGGAAAAATGAAAGTTAAAGGGTAAAAGAGTTACAGATGAGCAATTACGGTATTTCCTGCAGATTATTTTAATAATGATCCTTCTGATAGCTCTGAGTGTATAGATATAACCTTAAACATTAGCCACTAAGCAATTTCACCTTGTGATTCAATCTAACTTTTGCTCTTTGCTACCCATTACCAGGTGTCCTTTCATTAATTTCTTCTTACCACACATAACCAGTGATGTGATCAAGTACCTAACTTTTTCCTGAACAGCTCTAAATAGTCATTACTCATTAACTAATAAAACTTTCTGATGCAGTTTATCCAATTGGTTGTTTAATTCTCTAATAAATGCCAACCCACATTAAGAAAATTTAGCTCCAGGAAAAATACTGGTTCTGGGGCCCCTGCAGGAAGATAAGAGAAGCCAAAAACCCAAATCTAGCAGTTATTTTCTCCTTTTATAGTTTGTTTTGTTTGGAGTGGGCCAAAGGAAGTTTTCAGAACTACCTTCTTTGGACTTAGTTAAAAAATGATAGCTAAAAAAAGCAAAAAAAAAAAAAAAGCTAGAATGTGGAAGATTGTCTACCAGCTAATACCATGTGCTTTAGAAATGTGAAGGACTGACATGTGGTACCTTTGGGAGAACAGAGAGGAGATGTCATACTGGAGAAAGACTACCCAGGTGAGCCCTAAAGAATTAAAGTGGAGAGGAGGAGGTGAATTCACACTTCACTCTTCTGTGAATAAAGATATGGAGTGAACAGCTTACCCAAAGGTTAAAGGTGTGCCTCAGAAGAAAAGGGAAACATCTGAGAGACAGCTGGACAGTGGGCACCACAGTGCTTCAGGTTCACCTCAGCGTAGGTCCCACTGCTCTGAGCACCAAAGCCAGCAGGTTCATTCAAGAGCCTCTAGAGTTAAAAATAGACCTTATGGGCCTCTACTTGGCAATGAGTTACTTTCCATTGCACACTTGAGGTCAGATTTTCTTTTCTTGATTTACAGCATTAGATTTTTTAATTTGAAAGGAACTTTCAAAAATTGTGATTAAAAACTCAAGTTACCATCTTAACCACTTTAAGTGCACAATTCAGTAGTGTTTAGTGCATTCACATTGTTGCTCAATCAATTTCCAGAAATCTTTTTCATCTTGCAAAATGTACAGGAAAGGAACTCTTTTTTACTTAAGATTAACATAGCAATACTTGAGTTGAGGCTCGTCTTAACACACATAATGCCACCAGGGTGGCCATTTGCGGCTGAGGCTAGGTGATGAGTACTTGGAATCCGTAATGGCGAGCTACTTTCTGTATTTTTGTGTAAGTCTGAACACTTCCATAATACAATTTGTGGGTTTCTGCTCTTCTGGGAAGCACAAAAAATCGTAATCGCAGCTCTACGCTGTTCCTGGCTGCCTTCTGCTCTTTGAACCCATTCCTCCATGGGTGCAGTCGTTCAGGGTTCTCACCTCAGCACGGTTGGCTTCCTGCGCCAGCGGCGTCTGCGCCCTTCTAATTCCCAAACCCCCACCCCCGCGCCCGCGCCCGCGCCCGCGCTCCCGCCCCTCCTCGTCGTCCTCATCCTC